GTTTCTAATGTCAGACTTACGTCCATTTATTATTTGTTGTAGAGACAGGACTGTTTGTCCAGTGTAGAGGGTGGAAGGACATTGGTGACACGTGATGGCATAAAACACATTAGAGGATGAGCATGAAAGCTCATATCCTGCCACACGTTTTGTTAGTCCTTAAGGTGTTAGTCTTTAAAGTGCTACTGGACTCTTAATCTTTTCTGCTGCTACAGACAGAAAAACATGGCTACCCATCTTGATCTAGTTACTTGGTCATCTGTGAACCTAAACATTGGATGCTGTACCTAGGAATTAGAAATACCTTTTTTCACCCTTACAAGTAAAGAAAATAAGTACTTGTGTAACACAGTCTGTTCAACTGATAGCCCAGCATAAGCGGTTCTGAGCTTCCCAAGACAGAGTGGCATATTTGAGAAATGGAGTATAGATTTGTTTTAAAACAAAATACCAGCTGGTAGGCTTGACCGATAGCATTTGAGGGAACATTAAATGAAAATAAGCCCCCCCCCTCCAGACCGCAACATAGAGGACAGTTTTACTTTTGAAATTTTCTCCCAGGCTACTGCATGAAGAAGACATGTATGTGCATCTTAATGCCACTAACAGCCCGAAAATATTAATTAAAAAACGAGTTAAAAATCTTCCTCTCTGTCGTATCAGTTGTGAGGGGAGGGGATGTGGCTGAGTGATAGAGCATCCACTTAGCATGCGGAAAGAGTCCCAGGTTCAATCCCCAGCATCTCCAGTTAAAAAGATCAGGTATTAGGTATTGTGAAAGACCTCTGTCTGAGACCCAGGAGACCTGTTGCCAGTTAGAGTAGACATTACTGACCTTGATGGACCAAGGGTGTGATTCAGGATAAGGCAGATTCATGTGTGTCCGTGTGATCGTGCTGATTAAATCACTGATTTTAGTCTTCATTGCCTTGTATCAGCTAAGTCTTTTTCATCTGTTACTGTTCTGGGCTTGGTTTTTGTTGTTGTTGGGTTTTTTTTTGGGGGGGGGGGGGTTTGGGTTTTTTGTTTTGTTTGTTGTTGTTGCCCAAACAGATGGGGAATACAATCAAATCATGTGCGAGTAAAGTTTGTTTACTTTCATGGGTGAGTAAAGTGAGTTTTTTCTTGTTTTAAGGGAATTCAATTTCATAGTCAGAAAAGTCTGTTTGCTTAGAATTTTGGATGCCCCAGTAATCCAAGTTTGGGAAGCAGATTCTGTAGTTCTGGTGCAGAGAAGTATGCTTGTGTCTTAATGTTATGATTTCATTTGTATCCCAGGGTGGTGGTTACTGGTAGTTAGACAAGCAGATGCCTACACATACTGCTCGGGGGTGGTGGTGGATATGTGGCATATTGCACAGGCCTAAGGGTTTGTGTGCAAGGGGTGCGAAGACCAATGGGGAAACCTGCCCGCTTCCATAGAAGCCCCTTTTTTGTAACGGGAAATCAGACTCACTTATCAGTTTCCCATCAGCAAGGGTGCTGCTTTGATGAAGTGCCCATGGGTGCCATGGCACTCACCAACACCTTTCAAGGTGCCTGCCAAGTGTTTTTATTATTATTATTCCCCAAAGGGCTCAGGGTGGTGCACAACAGGTTAAAATAGACAAAAAAAATAATTTTAATTTATAATAAAAACAACTGGATTTAACAATGGCATAAAATTGCCCCTTGCTGCCTCCCTCAGGCGAATCAGGGACTGTTTATGGAGGAGGCCATGATGAGAGCCACAGTGTGGGCCGTTGTTGTCCTCACCCATAGTCCTGGTGGAACATCTCCGTTATACTCGCCCTGCGGGACTGAGCAAGGTCCTGCAGGGCGTGGATGTCACCAGGTAGAGAGTTTCACCAGGCCCTCTAGTTGGAGACAGCCAGATAGGAACCACCAGCGGGTTTTGATCTTCCGAGCACAAGGCTCTTCGGGGGGTTTACCAGGAAAGTAGGCAGGATGAAGTGGGGCTTTTGCCCAGCAGGCTTCTGATTGGCCACTGGAGATTTGATTGGCTGTGCAGATTTCTAAAAATGCTGCTTTGGCAGCAGATACTCCCACAGCACAAGGATCTTTACTGTGCAACTGAAGGTAAGCTGCAGCAGCCATTTTGTGGCTGGTTTCACTTCCTTTGGTAGCCATTTTGCGGCAGCCATTTTGTGGCTGCACCCACCACACAGTGTCAGAATTCCAAAGGTGCTCGAGGGCTCAAAAAGGTTGGGGACCCCTGCTTCAGATATTACCAAATTCCATCCTTCCAGGCTGTTCTGCTTGTAAGTGGGCAGATCTTGAGAAAGGTGTTTTTTGGGGGGTGGGGCAGAATTCCCAAGGTCTCCTTCAGATATTACCAAATTCCATCCTTCCAGACTGTCCTGCTTGTAAGTGGGCAGATCTGGAGAAAGGTGTTTTTTTTTTGGGGGGGGGGCAGAATTCCCAAGGTCTCTATCATAATCCATCCAGGTGCTTTTACAGTGACATACTGAACTAGCTACAGGAATGCGACGTTACCTGAAATTTCCTCCTTAACTATTGAAAAGCAGTGAGGGAGGACTCGTACGAGATGCCATGTGGATGGCCTTGCCTCCAAGGGTCTGAGCAGGTCACTGACAGGACAATTGTTGAAAACAAATCTCAAAGAAAGTAACAATATCCATTTGGTTTTACAGATTATTCAGAGGTATTTGTGGCTGTGTGTTTGCCTTCATCTTATTCTTGATTTTATTTTAAAACATTTTTATGCCACCTTTCCACCTTGTCAGAGTCCACAAGGCTGTGAACATTAAAACATTAATTCAAACTATTAAAAATACAGTTAAAATTATTAAAAAAAAACAATTAAAAACATGTTACCCCACAGTACTAGAAGGAGTACCAATATCATTATTGGGGGTATGCCAGATGAAACGAAAAGGTTTTCACTAGGTATGGGCACACAAATTGGCTCACGAACCTAAATTTGTGACAAACCATGCTCGGTTTGTGAGCCGAATTTTGTGCTGTCCCGCCCCCATGAACCTCCCAGGTGGCTTTGGGAGGTTAGTGTGGTTCTTGTCGGCAGACACGCTGGCACTGGCAGTGGGGCTTGGAGAAGGCATTTAAAGAGACCACAGTCTCTTCAAATGCCTTCTCTGAGCCACGCTGCAGCACAACTTGGCAAGTGAACTCAGAAGGCATTTAAATGCCTTCTGAGTTCACGTCTGAGTCGTGCCACTGTGGCGATGGCATGACTCACAAGGTGAACTCAGAAATGTCTTTTGAGTTCACTTGCAAGTTGTGCTGCGGCGGTGGCACAGCTTGCAAAAGCCATTTAAAGGGAACCCATTTAAAGGGTTGTGGAGGTTTGTGGTCCGTGAGACTCCACAAACCACGAACCTTCATGAATCTCCATTTCCCTCGTCTTCACCTGCTGGCTAAAGACACTGAGAGGATGGGAAGGGTGTCCAAAATTTGGTGCCATGATGGAGAAGGCCATTTATTGGGTTGCCATGGTGGGGGCAATCAAGGCATGGACTCCGAGGATGACTGGAGCAGGTAGGTTCCTATGGGAGCAGGCGGTGCTTATGATGCAAATTCTGTGTTCCAGTCTTGAGTGTGTTGACTTTGTGGGGCAACTCTGCATAGGATTCCAGTGTTAACTGTCTTGAAATACCTGGATTTTTAAAAATTATTAGCAAAGTTTCTGTTTTTCCCCACCCACCTCACAGGGTGTCTGTTGTGGGGAGGGGAAGGGAAAGGAGTTTGTAAGCCGCTCTGAGACTCCAAGTGAAGGGCGGGGTATAAATCCAATCTCTTCTTCTTCTTCTTCTTCTTCTTAACTGTCTTGAAATACCTGGATTTTTTAAATTGAGTTATTAGCAAAGTTTCTGTTTTATCTTGAAGACTTAGAATTTTCAGTTGTACTTTGCTACACAGGGGCCCCGTTCACACGGCGAATTTGCCGCGGGAGAGCCATGGATGTTGGGTGGATTATCCGTGCGCGATCACACCCCAACATCTGGGAAGTGGAGCGCACCGTGGCCAACCTGTGGCTTACCACCGAAAACGCGCCATAAAAAAGTAGTACCTCCAAAGTACTGGCAAACGGTTTGCCACGGGCTGCCTACGGATGCCTGCGGTGTGATCGCGCTGGTGCGCAGCTTTCCCTTCTGGCCCCTCGTTTACGCTCTGGCGCCGAGACCCGTGGTGTGCCACCGGCGCATCTGATCGCATAATCGCGGATCAAACTGCGCTGGGGCAATTTGCCACGCCTCCCCACCGTAATATCCGGCCCGTGTGACCGGAGCCAGGGGATATAATGTTGCCAGTATTTTGGGTCTTGGCAGTCATCTTGTAAACTCCTGCATTTATCAGCCTGTGGTAAAGATATTTCTACCTCCCCCCAAAGCACAGTGGCTGCCAGTCTGTTCCCTTGTCATTTGTACAGCTGTACATACTTCTCTTTAGAGGGACTAATGTAATCCTGGTGTATATATGGATAGAGGCTGTAGGATCCTTACTTTCACATTAAAATGTGGCAGGGTAAACATCCCAATAGTTTAATAGGGTAAATACCCCAGTAGGTGAATGTTTCTAATGGATTACAAAGATATGAGGAAAGAATTATTAAACACAGTAAATACTACCTTTGTGGTTTGCATTTCTGTGTAATCATGGAATTTAGAAGGACTTTAGTTTATTGGGTGTGTACTTTTGTTTTTTTAATTAAAGCTGTGTATCTCAATATCTTGCATCAGTGTAGTCTGTGTTCACTCTGCCCTCCTTGGTAGAAATAAGCACACTTCAGCTACCATGTTGTCTTTAAATCACCACGTATTTTAAAATGTGTATGTTACTGCTTTGTATGTGAATCTAAACAGGCTTGTATAGTATTTGCGAATCATCTGTATTTCGCTTTTTAAAAAAAAAATGATGTAAGTTTTAGTTTTTCATAACTGTTCATGTTGCACATAAATCCCAAAGCCGGAGAATAAACCAAAAAAACCCCCATAATTTTATTTCTTTATTGGTTGCAGGGAAACTTGCCTAAATACTCACACAATTCTCTGATGGTCCAAGCCCTCAAGACTAACTTAACAGACCCAGATGTCCACGTGCTCTTCTTTGATGTGGAAGCTCTGATTATTCAGCTACTAACTGAAGAAGCCTCCAGGCCTAACACAGCCCTTATTTCCCCAGAGAATTTGCAGAAAGCATCTGGCAGTTCTGACAAAGGAGGTTCCTTCCTGGCTGGCAAACGAGCAGCAGTCCTGTTCCAGCAGGTCAAGGAAACAATCAAAGAAAACATAAAAGAACATCTTCTCGACGAGGACGATGAAGACGAGGAAGCCAGGCAGAGGAGAGAAGATGGTGACCCAGAATATCGGTCCAGCAAATCTAAGCCATTAACTCTTTTAGAATATAACCTAACCATGGACACCGCTAAGCTGTTTATGTCATGCCTTCATGCCTGGGGCTTGAATGCTGTTCTAGATGAGCTTTGCGGTGATCGCCTGGGGATGCTAAAGCCGCACTGCTCTGTCTCATTTGGCTTGCTTTCAAGGGGAGGCCACATGTCTCTGATGCTTCCGGGATACAACCAGCCTATAGGCAAGGTACCCTCTACTGATGCAGATGTAGGGAAATCCGTGTCCCTCACGGGGGGGCATGTCAGGGGTACATATGGCATATCACGTGCAGTAACTACTCAGCACCTTCTCTCCATTATCTCCTTGGCGAACACCTTGATGAGTATGACGAACGCAACGTTTATTGGAGATCATATGAAGAAGGGACCAGTCAGGTAGCTTGAAAAGCAATTTAATGTTCTCTTTTAACTGCCTGTTTCCCCTTACAGTGTATTTTTGCCCGTTCTTCGCAACCATCACATGGTTGTTATTGAGCTGCGTGCCAGCAATCCAATTAACTTTTCCCCAATCCTCCCTGTGATCTTAAAACTCAGTCCAATGGAATCAGAAGTAGTGAAATTCTAAGTATATGTAATTGGACTCCATTTAAGGATGCCATGTCCTTCAGAATCTTTAAAATGTTACATTTCAAGTAGGTGAGTGCTGTGTTTGTGAATAGAGTTATTCATGGAACTTGAGTTTATCCACAGAACTTGGGTTTATTGGATTGTATCCTATGAAATCCACCACTGGGGGAAGGGCTTTCCATCCTCCCCCTACTGCCACAGCCCATTGAATCCCATTGCCTGAAATCTTCTTTCCGGGAGTCCATAGACCAAACAACATAGGGGTCTACAGTGGAAGAAAATAATAGGGAGGAATTGCCCCCAACAGAAATGCCCTTTCTTTATAGAAGGCAAGTCATTATCCTTAGTCAGATACGGGAACAGGTTACAACACCTTAAAGCTAGCGTGGTGTAGTGGTTAAGAGCGGCCGACTCTACTTTGGAGAACCGGGTTTGATTCCCCACTCCTCCACGTGAAACTTGCTGGGTGACTTTGGGCCAGTCACAGATCTCTCAGAACTCTGTTATCCCCACCTACCTCACAAGGTGCCTCTCATGGGCAGAGGAAGGGAAAGCAATTGTAAGCTGCATTGAGACTCAAACAGAGAAAAGCAGAGTATAAAAACCACCTCTTCTTCTTCTTCTTCTTCTTCTTCTTCTGAAAGCAAGATTGTGTGTTCGTTTTAAAGATGAATTGCTGCCATAAATATCAAAAACCTCCTCAGGAGGGGGGGGGTCACACCTGTCCTGGGCACGGGGTGCATAGGAATGCCAAATTAACTGCTGGGAGAAGGAATGGGGATAATATAATTTGGAGACACAGAGGAGGGAGGATGTCTGTGGCCTTGCAAAAAAGGCGGAGGGTTGGGAGAAAATGAAAAGGAACAAAGAGGCAGGAAGGAGATCCCAAGACCTGTAGGGTAGAGAGGAGACACCCAATACTTACACACAGTGGCTCCGAAGAAGTAACTTATGAAATATCTCCTGATTTTTTTACAAGCTCAGCTTTTGATGATGATTCTTATTTGCAGGCCTCCTAGGCCAGGGACTCCTGAGCTCGCTAAAATGAAGATGCCTGTTCCACCAGCCAGTCCAGCATCTCAAGGGCTGATTAAACAAGGTAACGTCAAAACCATAGAAATAACTAGTCAATCATTTGGGCTGTATTCATCTTGGATTACGCCCTCTCTTCTTGGGCCCTGAAAATGAAAAGAAAAATTGACCTCTGTATGAGAATTGGAATTATTAAAATTTTTAAATGATATTGTTTTTAAGTTTCAAAATATTATGTGGGTGTGGCCTATTATGCTAATGAGTTCCTATTATGCTAATGAGTTCCTGCTGGGCGTGGCCAACTTGGGAGCCAGCTGGAACTCTGTTCCTGTGCGTTCCTGCCCAAAAATAGCCCTGCCCAAGGGGGGCCCAAGGCGGCCATGTTTCTCACAATGCCTGTATCAACAGGCAGGGGAGTTGCCATTTCTGTGAGGTGGTCATGTGCTTCCACATGTGGGCTGACTTTCTACCAGCAGTTAATAAAACACAGATTTTGATACTTTTGCTGTTGGGAATCAAATAGTTGATCTGGGTTCAAAAGAAAACATTCAAAAAGCATAGTCCATGGCAGTAGAGCTGGAAGTCACCGAGTTCTAACAAGAAACGATCACTTCTGTGGACCTTATTGTCAGGCTTGTTACCAGAAGTTTCCATTCTGTTTCTAAACTGGTGGCGGTTGGAATGTTCGCCTATGCAGAACGAACTGTTTCGGCTTCATTGCGATAACTTACCCTGCCACAGCTGCGATTTCTAGCATGCAGAGTTGGGTCAGTAGCCAAGCATCTATCTGCGTACAAGTGACCATGTCAGTCCTCAGAAGGGGACCATGGCTGAAATAACATCTGAATCCTTGACTTGGCCAATGAGCTTTTGCGTTATTGATTCTTCTCTCCCCCCCCTGAAGCTTTAAGATAGTTTTATACCACTTTTCCTTGCAGCTCAAAGCAGTTTTTGTTTTGATGTTTCGGCAAAGAAGTGGCCCGTCTTTGTAAACCTTTTACTGCTAGCTGCTTGCTCCAGGAATTATGAAGTGCTCATTTCATGGCTCGTGGAGGAGTCACATTTGCTTTTATCGCCAACCAGAAAAGCCATGTGTAATTCCAACGCTGGAATGAACCCCATCCGCCAGGCTTGCTGCAGCTTACCCATTCCTCTGGCATCAGCCATTTCAGGGTGAGAAGCCACTGCCAACACTGAGCAAGGGCCTTGCCCACTTACCTGAAATGTGAGACAAGTGCCATATTGTGGAATAGTGCTCATAAGAGCCACGTCAAGATGGGTAGCCGTGTTAGTCTGTCTGTAGCAGTAGAAAACAACAAGAGTCTGGTAGCATCTTAAAGACTACCAAAATTTGTGTCAGGGTCAGGTCTCCCTCTAAGCTGTGGAGTCTTGTGAGCAAAAATTCTTCTTTTTGAGCTGCTGGCATTAAAGTTGTGAGCGAGCGATTTGGCGACTGTATGACTTAGTTTGCTCTGGTGCCCTCCTTCCTGAGCAAAGCCAAAAATGTGTGACCTGGAGGCAAAAAAAACTGAGCTGGCTCACACTAACTCAGCTTAGAGGGAACATTGGTCAGGGTATGAGCTTTTGCGAGTCACTGCTTATTTGAAGAAGTGAGCAGTGATTCACGAAAGCTCATACCCTGCCACAAACTTTGGTAGTCTTTAAGGTGCTTCTGTGTAGTGTAGTGGTTTGGTGTAGTGGTTAAGTGCGCGGACTCTAATCTGGGAGAACCGGGTTTGATTCCCCACTCCTCCACTTGCATCTGGCTGGATGACCTTGGGCAAGCCATAGTTCTGATAAGAGCTGTCCTTGAAAAAGAGCAGTTTGTGTCAGAGCTCTCTCAGCCCCACCTACCTCACAGGGTGTCTGTTGAGGGGAGGGGAAGGGAAAGGAATTTGTAAGCCGCTCTGAGACACCTTTTGGGTAGTGAAGGGCGGGGTATAAATCCAATCTCTTCTCTTCTTCTCTCTTCTGGACTCTTTTCTGCCGCATAAGAGCCACAGGTGGCTCTTGAGCCACTGAGAGAGTGTTGCTGTCTTATTTTGTTCTGATGCAGCATAAATTTGTCTTTTTTATTAGACACTGTTCTTCTACTCACTCAGTACGACCCTTCTGTACCCCTCTGCCCTGATCTAACTGAGCAGTAGGTGCACATTGCATTGGGGGCAGTTGCATATTTCACTGCAGATGTTTCTTTCTCAAACTCCAGGCCTAGAAAAGCCAAGAGGACTGTCATCTTTTGTCAAGTCAAAGTTATCTGTGTTCTGTCCCCCAAAATAAGCAAGACAGAGGTCATTCCTATTGGAGGGAATTTGCCACTCAGTAAGCTTACATATCTCTACTTTCAGAAGAGGCAGGGGTTTTTTTTTCCTGATCCCCCCCACCCACAAACACATAGCACCTTGACCCACATTTGGTCCACATGGAGCCACAGTGCCCAAGACAATCTTCTTAAGAGAGACAGAGGTTGTAGATGGCTAGTCCAAAGAAAAATCCAGTGAAAGCTGTGTAATATTTTTAGTAATAATAACAGCAACAGAAACTTTACCAAAAAAAACATACAAGCTTCACAACCCTTTATCAGGCTGGGTGTAAAAAGTGAAAATGGGAGAGGGGGAGGGGGAGATGTTTCAGACCCAGAGGCCTTCTGCTGGTGGTGGTTTGAATGTGACCCAATGCCATAAAAATAACATCTAGCAGATACTTGTTCACAAATCCCTGACATCTTAGTAGGGGTGAGTATTGTTTTTATTAAGGCGAGGAGGATAATAGCTTAGATTCCCCCCTCCCGACCATGTGTCTCCAAGGTATCACTTCCTAGGGTGCATTTTAAAATCGCAAATTTTCTCACGAA